ATCTCTTTACAAGCAAAGTAGCGGGCATTCGCGCTGAGCTTGATCGTCTTGATGCCTCACCCCTTAAATTGCCTCCTTTCCCTTGTCTTACTTCACATTTCAATATTTTTAAACCTGTTTCAGAACTTGAGGTCAAAAGTATAATTTTAAAATCTAAACATACATCATGTTCTTTGGATCCCATCCCAACCCCCCTGTTGGTTGAGTCATTAGATATCTTGCTCCCAACGATAACCCGCATAATAAATGAAAGCTTATATTCTGGCACTGTTCCGCCTCTTTGCAAATCAGCTGTCATCAGACCATTGCTTAAGAAGCCCGGTCTGGATGAAAATAATTTAAAAAAACTATACACCTGTATCTAACTTATCATTTTTATCTAATGTTATTGAAAAACTAGTCCTAAAACAACTTTTTGCTTGCTTAAACGACCACTCTCTTCTCAGTTCTAATCAGTCGGCCTATAGACATTTTCATAGCACGGAAACAGCGCTCTTGAGAGTCAGTAATGACCTCTTGCGCGCAATGGACAGCGGTAATGTCTCCATTCTGATCCTCTTAGACCTCAGAGCGGCCTTTGACACTGTTGATCATAAAATGCTTTTAAAACCCTTGAAAATTACTTTGGAATTTCTGGTTCAGTTTGGGCTTGGTTTAGGTCCTAACTCTCAGATAGAACGCAAGTGGTCTCTGTCGATGGCTGCCTCTCCGGCAGTGCTGATTTGGTGTACGGAGTGCCACAGGGGTCCGTTTTGGGTCCGGTTCTATTCATAATGTATACCAGACCACTGCTCTTCTTGCTTGGGAGGCATGCTGTTGAGAACCAGTCATTTGCAGATGACAAGCAGCTATACAAGCATACCCATCCATCTCTTGTCGATTCCGCTGTCCCGACTTTGCGGGGGTGCATTGATGATGTCAAGTCATGGTTGACACTCAGCAAGTTGAAGCTTAATGATGACAAAACAGAAGCACTCCTCATTTACAATCACAAATCATCCTCTACCTCAACTCTTCCCACCTCATTTCAAGTAGGTAACTCCGACATACAGTTTACACCCTCTGCTAGGAATCTTGGTTATATTCTTTCTAACAACATGTGTCTCGATAAACATATCTCTCACATTTGTCATTCGGAATACACCGCTATCCGTCAGATCAGCTCCATCCGCCACTACCTCACAGTTAGCGCAACAAAAACTCTAGTATGTGCTCTTATTCTCTCTCAACTTGACTATTGCAACTCTCTTCTGTCAGGTTCACCAAAACACTGCTTAGAAAAACTGCAGAGAGCTCAAAACTCAGCTGCTAGGCTAGTTTTAAAGGCAAAAAACGTGATCACTTCACTCCACTACTCCTTTCCCTTCATTGGCTCCCTATACAGGCACGCATTGACTCCAAGCTGTCTGTTCTCTGTCAAAACTTTTTCTCGGATTCCTGCCCTTCCTATCTAACCGAACTTCTTTCTGTCTATTCACCCCTTCGACAACTTCCCTCCTCTGCAGACTCGCGTATTCTGTCCGTTCCCAAGACACACATTAAAACATATGGTGAACGATCTTTCTCTTTCTGCGCCCCCAAACAATGTAAATTCTTTGCCACTACACATACGCAATATAACAACCACACAGGCCTTCAAAACTGCACTCAAAACACATCTATTTAAACTATACTACTCTGACGGATTCCCCTCCTATAAACCGATAAACTTAGATGGGTTGCCTTGTAAAATTTCTGGTGTGGGTGAGTGAATATACCTCTGGTTTTTTTTTTTGCTTACATGCTGTTTTTATTTTATATATGTATTTTATTTTAATATCATGATTATGCCTCTTTTCTATATTTATGTACAGCGTTGTGAGCCCCGCCCAAAACTGAGGTACAGCGCTATATAAGACCACTTATTATTATTATTATTATGTGTACTAAGTTTGGTCAAGATCCATCTATTCATGTAGAAGCAATAAGCATATTGATATATTACAATGCTTTTATTAGGAAAATGGGATGGATATTAGCTGTTTAGTACCCTTCGGTATTTGAGTATGGATAATAATATGTATGTATATTAAGTTGGGTCAAGATCCAGCTATTCGTGTAAGAGTATGTGAGGATCATTATATTTATATGGCTCATATAAAAAAAGGACATGGGCCCCCGGACCCAAACGGTGTATAGTTTCAAAATGAAACGTGCCTAACATTTGTAAATAAGCTGTAAGGAATAAGCCTGCATAATTTTAGGCTTCTATCTACATTGGAAGTTGGAGAATTAGTGATGAGTGAGAGGGTTTTGCCTTTCATTAGTATAGATGAGAAAAAAATGAAATGGGGCCCCCGATCCTAGAGGTATAAATATTATGAATTTAATACCCTTAAGTATTTGAATATTGATCATCAAGAGTATGTGTACTAAGTTTGGTCAAGATCCATCTATTCATATAGGAGTACTTAGCGTATTGATATTTATAAGACGTTTTAAGGAAAAATGAAATGGGCCTCCGGCCCCAGAGAGATGGATAATATGATTTATATACCCTTCGGCATTTGAGTATGGGTAATCAAATGTACGCATATTAAGTTTAGTCAAGATCCAGATATTCATGTTGCAGTATTTGTTGATCATTTTATTTATATAGCTCATATATCCCAGTGTCTCATTTTTATTTTACTTAGTTTACATGTTTTTAATAATTGTAAAGCTCTTAGAGCTTTATGGTAAGCACTATATAAAAATGCCTAAATAAATAAATATAAGAAAAAAATGACATTTTGGGGCCCCAGCCCTAAACAGTAAAGAGTTTCGAAACGAAACCTGCTTAACTTTTGTAAGTAAGACGTAAGTAACAAGCCTGCATAATTTTAGGCTTCTATCTACAGGGGAAGTTGGAGATTGAGTGATGAGTGAGTGCGGGCTTTGCCTTTTTTTTTTAGTATAGATATATTGATGTCTCACCCGCTTGTAGAACCCAGATAAAAACGTTAGATAAATAAACGGAAATATTACGCACCAAATTTACATGCAATATTTTGGGGGTAGGGGCTGAAAATATGAAATATTGCGTTGTCATCTGCAACGAGTCTATGACTTTGCCAGCCAGCCACCAACGAGCCAGGGCAAAGATAATATAAGAAATGTACAAATAAATAAACATGACAATTATTTTACTTTTATTTTAACATAATATATCACATAAGTTATTTTTGTTTTTTTTTTTTTAATTGTATTTTATTTTTTACATTTATCTTCTTCATTTATTTATTTATTTATTTAGGCATTTTTATATAGCGCTTATCATAAAGCTCTAAGCGCTTTACAATTATTAAAACATGTAAACTAAGTAAATACAAATGAGACACTAGGATAGTAACTACTATTCTATAGAAACAACGAAAATGGCTATAAAAAGAGGACACTTTGACACTTCAGGATTAAACCGAAACAGAAAATTAGGTTTGTTTTCATCACTGACAACAACATCGTGGCTATACATTTCATCACATCTATGGTTTTGCATGAATTTATCATTATTGTGTACCTTTATACAAGGTAATAGACCAAAAAGCACAAATTAACTAGCAGACATGATATATACATTAATAGTCATCATAAATACATCAGCAGACATCAATTATAAATGAGTAGACACCAAACATTCATCAGCAGACAACATATTTATATTAGCAGACAACATAAATACATTAGCCTAAAACATGGATTCATTAGCAGACACAAACATATATTAGAAGGCAACACTAAAACATTAGCAGACAACATGTATCCATTACTAGGCAGCATACATTTATTAGAAGACAGTTTGTAGTCACAAGCAGCTTTACTGTCTTTTTTAGTTTCCAAAATAGGGTCTGCTTTATTGTACATTGATTTTCGCGGAAACGTTTGTTTAAAATATGTTATTGTTATATATCCATAAATCCTGTTATAGTCAGTGTGTTGACCTAGCTTTTTTTCAACACGAACTGTTGCAGGCAACCTTTCTTCCCCCTTTGTTTTTAATACCGACATCAGCAATTAACTCTGCAGCTCCTTTTCCCAACCACCCTTGATTGGGAAAGTCTGATTAATTATCCAGAAACATTTATTTTATACTAAATTGAGATATATATTCTCTCTTATTAACGATTTTCTAAGCCTTCTGTTTTGAAGTTTTCTGACCCCCCCCTCCCCCCCACTTTTTTGTTTGTTTTCAACTGGCTCAACTGTAACCAGAAAAGTTATTACGAGACTTACCCATCAGCAGACAGAGTATATTTTTTACTGTGTGTATGCTGGTTAATATTCTGTTTTATACCTTTTTTTTTTACTCGATGCCCTGTAAGTTATTATAGATGTCCTTCCTGAATATTTGAATTTGTATTTTGATATAAACTTTATAATATAATTAAATTGAATATTGGTAATAGCATAGGCCTTTTGGATCATTTTCCTTGGTGCAACGGTGTTCATTTCTTTGTAACGTACGATTCATCCGACGAGCGACAGTTTAAAACCACAGACTAAATGTGTTAAACGTTTTAAAGGTACGATGCGCCAGTTATACGTCAGGTTTCCTAAGTCATAAGTAGTTTACTCTTATACAACCTCTCTATCTGAACACTCATGTTTTACCATATTTAAAATTGTTGCTGTTTCATCTTAAAGATTTGTAGCTCAAAGTGAAAACTTTGTCGACGTATACAACGTCATTGTGTAGAACGTTTTAATAGCAAAGTTGAATTGGAAATGTAGGTTGTTAAACAACGATAAACTTAGCCCACCTTCTTGGCTCCATGTTATCAATAATTTTTTTTTTTTCAAAATCAGTACTACATGTATGTCGATATTGCACGTTACGCAAACATAAATTCTTATTTACAGTGGTATAATGAGCCATTAGCACGTTTCTGGAAGCCTTGCCAGAGTCAATAAGTTTATAAATCGGTTCTGTCAAAAGGCTTTCAGAGTTATAGAAAGTTATTGATTTATATTTTTGAAAGCAAAGCTTTAGACTGAGTAAAACCTTGAGCTGTTGGAAAATACGTCACTTGACCAGAGGACCCGCGTAAGTCATTCAGTCTAACTTCTAATTTAATTTTAGTATTAGTGTAATATAAAATTTGTATCAAATAAATGTTATTTATTTGTGTGTCTGTCTGGCTCTTCCCATTTATTTCAATTGTTCGTGTCTTTCATTCTCACTATAAGACTGTAACTATGGATTTCTGTTTGACCGAAAAATATGTATTTCCATATCTATTTATCCCTGTATATATATATATATATATATATATATATATATATATATATATTTTTTTTTTTTTTTTTTTTTTATTTATTACTATATTTTTATATATTTATTTTAATAATTTTGCATGTCAAGTTTTATCTGTGCACCAACATTATCTTTTATATATATATATATATATATATATATATATATATATATATATATTTTTTTTTTTTTTTATTTTTTATTTATGACTATATTTGTATATATCTATTTTAATAATTGTGCATGTCAAGTTTTATCTGTGCACCAACATTATCGTTTACTCGTGATGTTTCTATAATTTATAATTTGTCAAAACGTCTTTTCATTGCCTTCTATTTGTCTTGCTCTGAAATTATCGGTGTGTATCATTTTTTCATTTTTTTCCCCCAATAGTCAACCCACGGGTTGCGTATCTGACTATTCATCTGTCTTTCTAAATGTCAATAATATGTTTTGTGTTTTAGTGGGTCTATAGGTCTTTTTATCGGTCTATGTCTTTGTTTATATATTTATGTTTCTATGACAGTCTACTGTATCGGTATGTCAGTCAATCTGTCTGCCTCTACTATGATTCTACCATTGGTGTCTTCGGATATCAATATTGATTATAATTTATTTAAGTTTTATTTATATATAAAAAGTTTTCTGATTTAATCAATTTTCAGTCGCAGGTAATTTATCTACCAGCTGAACTAATCCATCTATCACATTAACTAGCAAATATGTTTTTTTAATGAGTACTATATTTGTCACATACTACGTTCATAACGTAATAAAAATACATGTGATATTTCATCGTTAAATTAAATGAGTTAGGACACTTTGAAAATCTATAATCATGAACCTCCAGCAGGATCCCACCTTCCCATCATCCTTAGAAATGTCTCCTCCACCGCCACCTCTGTGATCTCCCCCCCCCTTCTTTTAAACCAAACAAAATTAAAAAAGTATGTATAATAGTCTCCTCTCCGTCACCCATTCGACTCACATGCAGCATACGTCATTAAAACTTTCACTCCAGACCTTCCTGTTTCTTAAAGTCCTTTCAAATTTTCTGGAATATTATATACGCACTAGATTTCAAACCTGTACAACATACGACCTCAAATATATCAATAATTCATGATGACCCGCCATATATCCAACAGCGCTTATTCATGCCCGTGAATATTCCGTGACTGATCAGAATAATTCAAAGAAATCAATCAATAAGATATGTTCAATACAGGCAGAACTCATATGAACTTAATAACTCCTAGTCAGTCAGGGTACAACATGTAGCTGAACCAACAGTTGGCAAAAACCAAGGCATACAACACGGTAGGTAACGAAAATGTTCTTCTGTGTTCTTTTGGTGACCACGTGATAAGTGCACGACGAGTGAAGAAGACGGAGGAAAGCAGAGAATGAGAGCGCAGCTCCGTGCGCAATGAGACATGTACAGACAAGACACGATGGGGATTACTAATTATTATAGAATACTATCCATTTGATATTACATAAATTGTACGAATTTGAAACTAAAGCTTCATCAGAGAGCAATAATTTTTCTAAAGAGATTGTTTACACACATTGTTCATTTTATGTTTGTTGTTTTTAATTTTTTTAAAAAGTTGAATTTTTATACGATATTTTTCAGAAGCTTAATTACGTTAAATGCTAATTTGAAAACTAAGACATATTTTATTGAATTTGTTATATATATCAAACACTTTCAAAGAATAAAATAAAGCATCTTGGGCTCACTAAAAGCTGATACCTGTAAGGTTGCTTAAAGGAGGCCATATACGTTATAATCAATCATTTATTTTCATGCTTATCTCATATTCAATTCGGTTAAATTTTACAACTCTATAAGAATGAGGTGGATAATTCCGCTAAAATATTTTTATTGACAGTGATGAGAATTGTTTTATTTTTATTTACTGACAGACACAAATACTCTTCGCATGTGATTTAGAGCCAAAGGAAATGGGTAAGTGTATGATATAATTTAACAAACAACGAGGCAAACAATTTTAATGATAGTTTATAGAATTGTATTTGCATTTCTTAAAAAATCTAAATAAAAAAAAAATTCTTTAACATGTACGATTTAAATTCAATAAAAAAATTTTTAAAAACACACACACACATTTTGTAAAGTATAAATGGTGATGCCAGTGCAACACACAATTGTTAGCAGGTGTAACATTACATTTTCTTTTATTATATAAATATAACTTAAAAGTTAATTTTTTAAATGTATTGATTTATTTAATAAAATATGCCCTTCCTGCAACAACAGATTCTGCCAAATTTCTTGAGGCAAGAGGTATGTATAACATGCTGATAAGTTGTTTTTGTAGCTGGAATATGGTTGTTCACGGTATGAATGTTAAGTAGGCGGGGGGACATTGGGTGTCTACTGTATGTAATTTTTGTATGTATTTTGGTGCGGACCATGCTTCTCTCCGGCATTGATGTGTGTCGTACGGGACTAATGGTTGTCTGCGGTATGTCATATGCGCATATTGTTGCGGGAATTCGGGTCTTCTTCGGTAAACATGCATGAGTGAGGGTCTGTGGTTCTTGACGATATTTGTGTATGTGTGTGGCTACTAAGTTATCTACGGAATGTATGTGTGTGTACGAGATTATGGCTCGATATGGGATGTGTGTAATTATGGTTGCCTACGGTATACAATAATGTAAGTTTGAGATTGTTATTCTCTTATTCATGTTTGTGTGTATGTATGTATGTATCTATGTATGTATGTATGTATGTATGTATGTATGTATGTATGTATGTATGTATGTATGTATGTATGTATGTATGTATGTATGTATGTACGTATGTATGTGTGTATGTAGGTATGTATGTATGTATGTACGTATGTATGTGTGTATGTAGGTATGTATGTATGTATGTGTGTATGTATATATGTATGTATGTAACTATGTATGTATGTACGTATGTGGATGCTATGTCTCTATACGGTTTGGCTGTATGGGTGGGATGACATTTTTAAATCTACAGTGTGAATGAATGTGTGTGGGTAATGAAATCAACATGGAATATGTAATGGCTATAATGGCTATTAAATTCAATCGATTTCATTTCAGAAGAAAACACACAAAAAAATAAAAAGATAAAAATAAAAAAAAATAAATAAATAAATATGTTTTGTTACGCACTGGCATCTAATATGGAAAATATAAATGCAAGGACTGCTTTCAGGCTTAGTTAATTAATAAAATAGCAAAACGAATTATGTGTGAAGCTTGAAATAAGATAAGAGGACAAAAAAAAAGGACGTTTCGGCATAAAGCCTTCCTCAGCAAAAAATCAAAATAAAAATATAACAAAGAAAAGAGCACAGTAGACAACTCAAACAGTATCCATTCGTGTACAATAGCGGAGACACGAAGGTAATTATTTTAAGCTGAGGGGATGGCTAGCGGGCAATTAAACATAAATTCACTCCTTGTGCCTTTAAGTGGGTACATATATTATGGGGATCCTTTCCTTAGTCTAAAATATAAATTTTTTTTATTTCTAAAAATTGATGTTCAACAAGTATACGTTATATGCTTCAAATATAATTTAGATTTATTTTCACTACAGATAGTAGAAAGGGTGTAGAGTCAGAAGATATGGAGATCAGTAAGTGTAATAACATTAGCTGTTATTTATTTATTTCAGTACAATGTAATGCTTTAATTATTTATTAAATTATATATATATTTATATATATACATTCATATGTATTATAATCCATTATATGGTTTTACAATTTATTTTTTTTTAAATTTTGAATTGTGCTTGCAACGAAAAATAATTCTTAGAAAACTATTTGAATTAATTTATGAATACATAAATATAAATGGTTTAACTTTTTTTAGAACTACAAGAGAATATTTAAAATTTTCAATATTTAACTGAGTTATTTAATTCATGTTGAAATAAGCATATATAGTTGTCTACTTTTTTTGTTGAAGGCACTTCTGTTAAAAGAAAATATCAAGATTCAACAGATACAGGTAATAATTTATTGCTACGTGAAGTAATTGGAAATGTTTTTCAAGCTTTGTCACTGAATTTATACTTAGTTGACTAGCCATGTAGTTTATTCTAAAAGAAATAATACTTCTTGATTAAAGAGACATATCCAATTTTAGTAAACATTATTACGCCTGCGTGGGAAAACATTCAGGCCAAAATGAATTAAAAAATTAAAATATAAATGAATAAGGAACAAATGAAGCCCGAAAAGAGCATTGATCTTTTAATAGATCTTCCTTTAAACACCTAGCTCATAAAAATGTTCCATTCAATGGTATTAATTTTTTTTTTTTTTTTTTTTTTTTTTTTTTAAATTTTCAGAAACAAATTTTGATGAATATGACATCAAACGAAAAATTCGTAAAGGTAAATAGAAATTTGGAAGAGGTAAATAAAAAGGAGAACTTAAAGGCTCGTTTAAATCACTGAGTGATAATCGAAACAATATCATTGTCTTTTTCATTTCATGTAATGTTTCATGATTTAATTTAACTAAAAAAAAATTATCTCAAATTTCAAAATAATTGTTAATTTTATCAATGTCAAGAAGAAATATTTTAATCTAAGTGTTCCTCTGACTTGCTATACTATTCATTATTGTTAAAATATTTTTAAAATCATTTTATTGTTATTTAAGGACATCAGTTAAAATAAACTTTGATTAAATTTTTTTCTGTGTAAACACGGGAAATGTAGCTGCATGATTTTACTATGTTACCGTATGAAGTAGCAAATGCGTTTTATTTTTTGGAAAGTTGTCATTAATATAAAATTAATGAAAAAAATATTACTTTGGAAACGAAATTTTAATGATCTTTTCTCAATCAGATGATGACACCAAGTGTATAATTTTAAAGATAATATTGAATAAATTCTTAAGCATTTGATGTAAGTCAGACTTCGTTTATTTAAGAAAATGATGCATTTAATTAATACATTTGAAGTACATTTTCGATGTTTAAAATTACAGGAGTTTTCATGTGTTATAAAAACAAATATCTTAAATTTAAATAAAATCTAAGGGATTAGATAATATTATAATCCACCAGTATCAGAGGAAAGTTCTACATATACAGTAAACAATCGAAACGTTTCAACATCAGAGCAGGAGGTAAACTCTAAAGTACCAGCAAGCTGTCAAGAAATATTAACTACAGAACAAGAAGAAAACTCTACAGTACCAGCAAGCTGTCAAGAAATATTAACTACAGAACATGCAGAAAATTATACAGTACCAGCAAGCTGTCAAGAAATATTAACTACAGAACCAGAAGAACACTCTCCAATACCAGCAAGCTGTCAAGAATTATTAACTAAAGAACAGGAAGAAAACTCTACTGTACCAGCAAGCAATAAAAAAATATCAACTACAGAACCAGAAGAAAGCTCTAGTTTTGCGGAAATCACTCAAGAATTATCAACAAAAGAATGGTTAGACAACAAAGTAAGACATTATGTCATTCAATGTTTTAGATTATTTGTTATCGAATAAAATATATAAGTTTTGTATATGACGTTATAGATTATGTACATTTTAAGCAATCGGAAACTCTAGTTTTTCTTATATATGTTGAGGGCACACGATCAATGTTTTGATCATTCTGGCTTCTACTATAGTATTCTTTTATTTAAAAATTCTAGAATCAGCTGGATTTTCACGACATTGATGAAAAATCAGTCTCGGAAATAGACCTACTACAAAGTTTCTTAGCGGAAGTGGAGCGTACCTGGAAGGTGGTGAACAGACTGACAGGTTTCAAGTTTGGCATCATTCCCCCAATGTGTCTATCCCAGGGTCAAGAAGTCGGACATTGGATCAAGCTTAGTCGGAAAGTCATCCCATTTGTGTATGTGACTCCAACAGGTGGCAGTATTCCAGGGGTAAATGATGTTCAAGACAGCATATACGACGTCAAAACCAAATCCTCTGCAGCTGCTCTCTTGATTACAGAATACGTCAACAGTGTGATAAATAATTTAGAACTGCAAGCAGACGATGTAAGTTGAGGGAACGTACCAACGATTTGATCGGGAGCCCTCTGATTTAAGGATTTTAATAATTAGTTTACTTTTAAATCAAGATCAATTTTTATCATCTCTAACCAACAGAAAACTACATTCTGAAATATATATCATTATAAAAGACATTTTTAACTTAAACGACTTCCGTAAACTAGTTGTCTTTCAATAATATTGAGTCCTAATAAAACAGCATTTTTTTTCTATTTCGGGAAATAGTAAAATTTAAGGACATGTTCAAATATTAAGTCATAATAAAAGAAAACAATTTTTGTTGTTGCTATTTCAGGAACTAGTAACATTTAAGGTTATGTTGAAAGAGTTGCACGCCCTGCTTAAAGATATCGATTCAAGTATGTTTTCCAAAACCAGACACAATTCAAGCCTGACCATGTCCAAAGTCAAAGAACTTAAAATTAAAGTTGATCAAATGTCTCTTATCGATAAAATCGATCGATGCACATCAACAGAGCGCATCCTGACTCTGACTGAGAGCCATCTATTGTGCAGAATTTTAGGCTTGAGTGATAAGTTCGTTCAGAAGATGATTGATATCAAAGACGAAAGAGCATTGCGTAAATCACCAATTTGTATTCTCGAAACGTTTTTTGAAGCCGAGATGAACGAGGTTAACATGAACCGTAGATGTAATGAAGGAGGAAATATAACTTCAGATTTGCTACAGATGGGGCTCTCCCAAGAAAAGACGCAGGGAATAGTGAACAAAATCATTGCCCAGAATGAGGAGACGCAATCTGCCATTTACTGGGTTAAAGAATACCTGGACAGTCTGTTCACCACACACCAACTTCTGACGCCTTTACCATTACTAGATAGGTACGCAGATGAACTAATAAATGAATGGTTTGATGCTGAGGTTTACCTACGTGCGACACACGATGGGAACTCAATAAAACTCAATTTTCAAATGATTAAAGTTGATTTTAGGAGCGATGAATTAAAATCTGCGGAAATATTTGACATGTTTCGTCAGCCCGGTTGCAAACTACTCTTCCACGGAACTAGAAAAACTGATTCCTTAGACAGCATTTTGAGGGAAGGAATCATGTTAGATCGTGGGAGATCGAGACAGGATTTTTCTGACGGAAGTGGCTTTTATTTGTCTGATGACATTGAGGCCGCAGAAAATTGGGTCAAGAACAGGGGAAGATGTAACTGCGCTGTTATCATATATCGAATTCCACTAGATCTTCTCGAGTTCGGTGTTACGGGAGGTCTGAATTTAAGCCGGAACGCAAATGAGTGGTCAAGTGTGGTGAAATACCACAGATCTGGAAGTTACTTAGAGCAAGAAGTACCCAATACATTTGACCTGGAAAACCGGCCATTTATCAAAGGTCCCGTCTGTGTAAACGGAAAAAAGATTAGGAGAAATGTCTCGCCAATTATGCTGAAAATAAATGGTAGGAGATTGCAACAGTATTGCATCCGTGATGAAATGTTAGCTCTTGACATTAGCCCCCTTGTTGTGGGAGTAGCGCTTGACTGTAAAGCCAAAAATTAATAACATTTTCTCAGGTTATAAACATTAATCATTACTATCTATTATCTATTACACCATTATAAAGTGGTAACTAACATGACACCTTACGAAATGAATGTAAACTACTTTAGCTATTGAATGTTTGGTTGTTTGTTTCGCCCTTAATAGAAGTAAATCCTTTGTAGAGTTCTTTAATATTTCTATAGTACTCCAGTACGTTCTAAATAAGGATATAAGGATATGCGATTTGACTATGAAAGTGAGTGGACATTTAATTTTAGCTTCAATGATGCAGCCATGTTTTAACATCAAGAATGACAAGCACTGTAAAATGAAACGCTACACGAATAACATAATTTAATTTTTTTTTTTATTCAACTTGTTACAATTTTTTTTTAAATAGTATATTAAAATTAAACATGTTATCACTGTAACATCGAAAATCTGGAAATAAATTATATCGCTTTTTGTCATCATAGCATAATGTATATAAATTGATGGGTAAGAAACTTTATTGAATATGCATAGAGTGTGCACTTGAATGTTTTAGTGTTTTATTAGACCCAACATTAGGTGAAGACAAGTCCATGTGTCCGGACCAGAACTGCTCACCTTTTCAATTTGAGTTAGGTCTTCGTGCAATCGCCTCACTTCTTGATGATTTTTTACATTTTCATCCATTATTTTCAATGGGTTCCTGTGAGTTAGCGCATCAACTACAAAAGTCTGTCCCTGGTGTACAGCTGCAGAGATGACTCAGCATCGGAATAACTCAAGGAACTGATTTATAAACATGTATCCGTGAAGAGCCTGCGGTCTTCATCACAGTACTTGCTGAGTGTTCCTAGTGTGGATAAACACAGACAAAAGTCGTACGGAGTGCATTCTTTTGAAGCGATAGCGCCAGAATTATGGAACAGTTTGCCTCAATCTTTGAGGCGAATTGTAAATGATAAAAAATCGTTTAAGAAACAAAAAAAAACTTTTATGTTTCCAAAGATTTCGGAGGACCAGAGCACAGTGAGCATGCTAAAATAGCATTGGATACCGGCGAGATATAAATATGAAATCAATCAAAATCATGTACAGATCCATTTATATTTTTCATGATTAAAAAAAATTCCCTTGTATTTCATATGTTTTTAGGATAATCACATTTATAGAAATGTGTACTCTTTTTTTTAGGAACTAAAACACTTTTTATTTTCCAAATACTTGTTGTTTCTTGTTTTCTTTATACCATGAAGGAGGAGTTTAGCTGAAGCGCACGTATATATATATATTTAAAATTTATTTATTTATTGATATAATATATTCTTGCTGGTGGAGACATCTGCATTATCAAAATTTTGAATGTCTGAAAACAATAGATGCATATTCATTTACTTTCAATTAAGTAGCCACATAAGTTACAATAAAAATTACTTAGTAATATAAAGATTATGAAATGTTATCCACATATATCATAAAATATATAACCGTTTCATTTCAAGACTGTTTCAAAAAAATATCCATTTCATCAAAATATTAACAGAAAAGTTCGACAATCGTGTGGAGAAACAAACAAAAATCATACTCGTAAATGTGCAGTGATTTCCCCTGCTCATATTTCAAACCCGTTGAAAAGCAGCGGGTCTTAAGCATTGAAAATTTTTTGAAGAAAACAGACATTTTCAAGAGTTTGTCTTCTAACATAATTTCAAAAGCATGAGGTTTTTTGTTTTTTTTTATTCTTAGTATTATCTTGGTTTTTTTTTGTTGGTGTCGTAGGCTTTTTTTGCTACACATAAAATAAACAATATATGATCATCACATAACATGTTAATTGCTTTGTGTTTTCTTTTGCAAAACTTATGCCCAATTTTAAAATAATAATTTTTAATATGTAAACTCAATATATAACATCAGAGTGGCTATGTTTGTTTGTATGTTTTAATATATTCGTATGTATGTATGGATGTATGCATTAATGTATGTATGTATGTTTGTATGATTGTATGTATGTATGTATGTATGTATGTATGTATGTATGTATGTATGTATGTATGTATGTATGTATGTATGTATGTATGTATGTATGTATGTATGTATGTATGTATGTATGTATGTATGTATGTATGTATGTATGTATGTATGTATGTATGTATGTATGTATGTATGTATGTATGTATGTATGTATGTGTGCATGCATGTATGTATGTATGTATGTATGTATGTATGTATATATGTATGTATGTATGTATGTATGTATGTATGTATGTATGTATGTATGTATGTATGTATGTATGTGTGCATGCATGTATGTATGTATGTATGTATGTATGTATGTATGTATGTATGTATATATGTATGTATGTATGTATGTATGTATGTATGTATGTATGTATGTATGTATGTGTGTATTTGTGTATGTATGTATGTATTCTGACACTATCAGAAACAGCCAGATGCTCGAGTCTTTAAAGACCGAATTGAAAACATATGAATTTCGCCAACACCTGCTTTGGAGATATTGTCTACCATCTTTTCCAGCTGGCTATTATCTTTTAGATGTCTATTGGCATGTGTTGATTATGTTTGCAAGGGATGAAAGACTTAGAATGGGTATTCTCGTTTGTACTTTTTTTAATGTTGCGTTTTGTATTTTAATGTTGTGAAATATAGATTTTTTCATTTCTCTTTTAATATGGTTGACTTTGTACCGCGCTTCGAGTCTTTGGGGATGAAGCTTGAATTTCAAATACACTTTATTATTATAATTATTATTATTAATATTATTATGTATGTATGTATGTATGTATGTAAGTATGTATGTATGTATGTATGTATGTATGTATGTATGTATGTATGTATGTATGTATGTATGTATGTATGTATGTATGTATGTATGTATGTATGTATGTATGTATGTATGTATGTATGTATGTATCTATGTATGTATGTATGTATGTATGTATGTATGTATGTATGTATGTATGTATGTATGTATGTATGTATGTATGTATGTATGTATGTATGTATGTATGTATGTATCTATGTATGTATGTATTTATGTATGTATGTATGTATGTATGTATGTATGTATGTATGTATGTATGTATGTATATATGTATGTATGTATGTATGTAGGTAGGTAGGTATGTACGTATGTATGTGTGTGTCAATGTATGTATATATGTATTTATGTAGGTATGTGTGTATGTGTGTATGTATGTGTTTATTTGTGTACTTATGCAAGTATGTACATATGTATGTGTATGTATGTATGCATGTATGTATGTATGTATGTATGTATGTATGTATGTATGTATGTAAGTATGTATGTATGTATGTATGTATTTATGTATGTATGTATGTATGTATGTATGTATTCATGTATGTATGTATGTATTATGTATGTATGTATGTATGAATGTATATATGAATGCATGTATGCATGTATGTATGTATGTATGTATGCATGTATGTATGTATGTATGTATGTATGTATGCATGTGTGTATGTATGTATGTATGTATGTATGTATGTATGAATGTATGTATGTATGTATGTATGTATGCATGCATGTATGTATGTATGTATGTATGTATTTATGTATTTATGTATTTATGTATTTATGCATGTATGCATATATTTATGTATGTATGTATGTATGCAATAGATGCCAACTGTTCAGACATGGACATATTGATTGATAACTTCAACACAGCTGTGACGGACACAGGACACGACATTCTCTGTAAGCATCGACCAACCCGAAAACCATTGGTGACAGCTGACATACTTGATCTGTGGGATGAACAAAGGCAGTTAAAAAAAAAAAAGGTAAATACAGAATGGGCCATTAAATATAGTACAGTTAATCAAGCCATCAAAAAAGGTATGAAAAGGGCAAATAAGAACAGTGTAGAAGAGCAATGCTACGACATTGAAAACTGCTAGCATAAAAGCCTAACAGTTGTTGAAAGAACTAACCAATGCACAACAAGGGCGTAGTACTATCATACAGGATAAAAATGGTAAATGTTTAACCGAAGAAAATGATATCATCAAATGATTAACTGAATACTGTTCAGAGCTGTATAATGAAAGTATAAAGATAGACCCAGAGATCCTTAATGTCCCTCCAGCAAAAGACAATGATAACTACCCTATTTTCCGCGCAGAATTAGAAGCAGCAGTCAAGGCACTCCAAACAGGAAAAGCCGCAGGAGTGGATAACATCCCTGGCGAGTTGATGAAACAAGGAGGAGAAGCAATGATAAGTGCCCTATTCAATATTTGTAACAAAATCTGGCTTACAGGAGAATGGCCCAGATCATGGACCAAATCGCTCATCGTCACCCTCCCCAAAAAAGTTAACCTAAAGCTATGCCAAACTATCGCAAAATTAACCTAATAAGCCATCCAAGCATGGTCATGCTGAAGATCATACTGAACCGACAAAAAACATTTACAGACAGAATAATTGCTGAAGAACAAGGAACCGACTAAAACCATATACAGACAGAATCATTGCTGAAGAACAAGAGGGCTTCAGACAAGGACGGGGCACTACTGAGCAGATTCTAAACCTCCGAATACTATGTTAGAAATATGCTCAACACAAACAAAAGCTATACCAGTTTTTTGTTGACTTCAAGAAAGCATTTGACAGGGTTTGGCATGCTGCTTTATGGGCAACATTGAGGCACTACAAAATCAACACAAACCTAACTAGCATGATATGCAACCTCTATGATAAGGCCACCAGTGCAGTCTTCCTCAACAACAACATCGGAGAATGGTATCAATTACGGTTGGAGTTCGACAAGGCTTTCTGCTCATACTTCCCATGGGAGGCTGATTGTTCATACTTCCCTTGGGAGGCTGACTGTTCATACTTCCCATGGGAGGCTGAGTGTTCATACTTTCAATGGGAGGCTGAGTGTTCATACTTCCCATGGGAGGCTGAGTGTTCATACTTCCCATGGGAGGCTGAGTGTTCATACTTCCCATGGTAGGCTGAGTGTTCATACTTCCCATGGGAGGCTGATTGTTCATACTTCCCTTGGGAGGCTGAGTGTTCATACTTCCCATGGTAGGCTGATTGTTCATACTTCCCATGGTAGGCTGATTGTTCATACTTCCCATGGTAGGCTGATTGTTCATACTTCCCATGGGAGGCTGAGTGTTCATACTTTCCATGGTAGGCTGATTGTTCATACTTCCCATGGTAGGCTGAGTGTTCATACTTTCCATGGTAGGCTGAGTGTTCATACTTCCATGGTATGCTGATTGTTCATACTTCCCATGGTAGGCTGATTGTTCATACTTTCCATGGTAGGCTGATTGTTCATACTTTCCATGGTAGGCTGATTGTTCATACTTCCCATGGTAGGCTGAGTGTTCATACTTCCCATGGTAGGCTGAGTGTTCATACTTCCCATGGTAGGCTGAGTGTTCATACTTCCCATGGTAGGCTGAGTGTTCATACTTCCCATGGTAGGCTAATTGTTCATACTGTCCAAATGCAAGTTCATAAAAAAAAAACCTTTAATGTTCTTTTTTTTTGTTGTTTTTTTTTAAATCAACCCAGGTAATAAGCTCATTAAATAATACCCAGTGTTTTTCTTTACACACATTTGTATGATTATACTTAAAAGTTGCGCCAAATTTAAGCTTGCCCTGGTCGCCAGCAACCGTGAGGCCGGCCCTCACGGGACGCCGTCGCCTTGTGTAATTTTAAATTGCATAATAGAATGTTGTTGAAATTCACAATAGCTTGTGCTGCCTTATAAAGATATCAGATTACACTGAATATGATACGTTCCAGTTTTGTTGTGTTGTTGAAAGCTTAGTAATATTCCAGGCCATGACCCTTTCGCATCAAAGGCTTCCATCATGTCCACGTACCCAACACCTAATTTCCCTTTACTTATCCTATGGCTATTTATGTGGCAAATCTAGCTCCACCCATGCTAAACTATTTCCCTATATGCTACTCTATGTCCATAGAAACTACTCTCTGTGCCTAGTCCCTATATACTTCTCTATAATTTACAGTATGCCCGCATCTCCATCTCCATGTCCCTATGTGCCAATATATGTCCTTTTATGCACCTATATTCTCATATGCTACTGTAGGTCCCTATATGCTACTCTATGTCTATATATGTCACAATTTGTGCTTATATGCATCTCTGTTTCCGCATATGCAAATATGTCACTATTTACTACTATATTTCCATATATGCTACTGTCTATCTTTAAGTACTGCTGTATGTTCTTATATGCTACTCGGTGTATCTATAAGATATTACCAGTTAATGCCTTTCTTGCCTTAATATATATATTTGCCCATCACCATGGACACAATTATGAATAATTATGTTAATTTACTTCCGCTATCTTTTTCATAGAATCGTGAAATAACGCGGGAGTTATTTCCCAATTGTTTTTGTGGATAGTCATGCTAGTTAAGGTGTATAAGGTCATGTTAGTGGATACGGTCATGGTGGTAGATCAGGTTATGGTGGTGTGTAAGGTCATGGTGGTGGATAAGGTCATGATGGTGGATATGGTCATGGTGATGGATAGGTCATAGTGGTGGATAAGGTCATGGTGATGGATACGGTCATAGTGGTGAAAAAGGTCATTGTGATGGATAAGGTCATGATGGTGTATAAGATTAAGGTGGTGGAAAAGTTGATGTGGTGGAAAGGTCATGGGGTTGGATAAGGTCATGATGGTGGATAAGGTCGTAGTG